GTTAAACTCCTACTTATCCAGAATAGACCTAACATGTCAAATATATATGTATATTCAGCGTGCAATGAGTCCCCGCATGGCACCGGCCACTTGGCATGTCCTGCTAACCCTACTCATCTGGCGCCCTTCTCCTTTTGGTCCGACCCCGTCCAAACACCACATTTCTTGGGCCTACCGTTGGATGACGTCGACGACAACTTATCTAATCTTTACCATCCTAACACGGATAAGGCACCTATTACAACAACAACAACACCTCAGACCTACACTCGAAATTGAAAATCTGTATGCAAAAAACAGATGTAGAAGTACGAATGACAGGATCACGATGCATCAAAGGAGAGCGGGTTTGGACKATATCAAATAATAAGTGCGCGCAAATAATAATAACAGAAATAAAAAGAAAAAGTTGATTGGAACCAGTCGTTTCTGGAGTCAGTATATGATTCCTTAATCCCACTCAATCGATCTGATTTTCCATATAAACCTGCATAACCAACTACTCACCTCCGCATGCTGCGTTGCCGGGGTAAAGTATGGATCTTTATCGTTGCTGTTGTTTATGTTTACCATTAGCGTAGTTGTACCCGAAAGACTTGGGGTACCCAAATCGGTTGCGAGCACTTCGATGTGATAGGTATTGCGACGGTCATAATCCAGTTTGCGCGAAACAAAAACATCRCCGGTACGCTCATCAATGCGGAAATCATTGAAGCTGCCATGCTCAATGCGGTATCTATAATGAAAGTGAAAAGTCAGGGCATAAGATTTGGGTATGAGAGTAAGAACGCTTAAAGCTGAAGGTTTATTAAATATAAWGCATRCAAAATTTGAATAGACGTTAACATTAAGTGGTTGGAAGGCACGTACCACAAAGAAATCTAAATGTTTATGTMTAYAATCTTGCTTGCATTCACATTAAGAYATTTTGATTACGGTTAGTAACGTCGGTTTACCCACCTGATCTCCGCATTTATGCCCGAATCTAAATCCTCRGCTTGCAGCTTCTCGACACTGGTGCCGATTTCCGAATTCTCCTCYACCACTGCCGAATACTCAGCGGCAAGGAAGCGYGGCGCATGATTATTCACATCACGTACCGTTATATTCACACCACAATTTGTAGTGAAAACGCCATCATTCGCCTCGACGGCAAACACCAAATAATCGCGCTTCAGATAMGTTACATCCAGTGTTGCATTYGGACGTACCGTTATTTGGCCCGTACGYCGATCGATGGCGAAAACACTTGTGATWTGTTCATCACCAATAATGCGATAGGTTATGTCCGAAATAGTGTCAGCATCGCGCGCCTTCACCACCAACGGCGAATCGAACACGTGTGCGCCTTCRTCAACAGCGGCGCGATACAAYGGACTCTCACACACCGGCGGCGAATCATTCGCATCGGTTACTGAAATACGCAGCGGCACCACCGATGTTTGGCCTTGACCGCCGTCGTCGGTTGCCTACACATAAGARTCGAGTGAAACAAGTGAAAATGAAATTAAATTCAAAGCATACGTTCACAAGACAAACTTGAAATTTCAAATCGAAGTCACATAATTGCAAATGAATTTCAAATAAGAACCACAARCTTACTACCCAACTTGTATGTATGTATGGAAGTCAGTYGTGGCAACAATAACAATAGCAASAAGAAATGAAAACGCTATAAACATAATAATAGCAGCAACAACAACAACGCGTGCTGAGCTCGTCACTCACTTTGTATGACAGAAAGTACGTGGTCTCCGTTTCATAGTCAAGGCACGTACGCGGCACCTCAGCTCGTCGGACTATCTCAGCTTGGCTTGTTGGCGTCGTAGGGCGGACCGTGGCTGTTGCGCTATTTTCCAACATTGTCGGCAAATGGGTGGGCACCACTGCTGTTGGTGCTGTAGCTGCTGTTTCGCTAATGACATCGTTAATGCTGCTGCGTGCTTCCGACTGTGTAACGACTTTATACTCTACCGTTGGTTCTGTATTGATATCGAGCGCATTAAAAAGTGCAGCATTGGGCTGTTCATTATCAACCTCCTCCGTCGATGTTGTGGCGGTTGATGGCATTTGACTGTAGTTATCCATATTGAGGAGCGATAAGAGCGATGCGTAATCTGTCGCATCGGTTTGCGTGTGCAATTGACGTCGCTGCCGACCGGCACGTCCATCTGCACCGACAGCCACCGTTGCTTGGCAATCGGCTAATGTTATTACACCAGTTTGTTCATTAACGTGAAAGAGTTCAGCACCGGTGCCCGATAGACTATAACGTATACCCGCATCACCATATTGACCCGAATCGACATCTTTCGCTGTGATGGTGGTAACATATTGACCGGGTGCAGCCGCTTCCGATATGCTTGCCGAATATGATTCATGCTCGAACATTGGCTTATTATCGTTGGCATCCAATACGGTTATGGTAATGGTGGCTGTGGAGGATAATTTCGGTTTCGTATCGGTCTCCTCGGCAATGACGAGCACAATAAATTTACGTTGATTGGGATTTTCATAGTCCAGTGTGCCGTTGCCGACACGTATGTTGACTTGTGAGAAACCATTTACATACTTCGGTTCCACCTCAAATACGCCGGATACATCATCCAAGCGTAACGAGAATTTCGAATTGATGCCAACATCATGATCTGTYACATTCATGTCGAGCGCGAGTGGCGTACCGGGTGCTGTGTTCTCTTGCAGTGAAACTTCATATTCCTTCTTATTGAAGGTAGGCGGTGAATCGTTCACATCACGTATGGTTATGGCTGTCTCTTATACACATCTAGATGTGTATAAGAGACAGACATCATGATCTGTCACATTCATGTCGAGCGCGAGTGGCGTACCGGGTGCTGTGTTCTCTTGCAGTGAAACTTCATATTCCTTCTTATTGAAGGTAGGCGGTGAATCGTTCACATCACGTATGGTTATGGTGGCCTGAGCGGTRGTACTTGTCAGTGCGTCACTGCTGGCGGTGCCATTGACGAGTTCACGGGCCTAAAATAATGAAATAAAAYAAGAAAGAGAGCATGAGAAAGCGAGCTTTAATTCAAACCAGACAAATATGTTCAAGTGTGACGACGATCGATATTCCACGCAARCCTAAAGGGACCATTCGCTCAGAAGAGGCTATTAGCGTTGGAATATTATGGCGACTCAATTTTTTATGGGGTAAAAAGTTTTTAATTTCGAACACTTGTTTCCCTTTTACACGATATTTTTAGATTTTAAAAAATAATCCTTAATAAAAATTGGTTCCGTACCGGTTAAGTACACCCGATAGTGATGGGAACCCGCCTATAGTATTGGTGAATGGCTGAATTAATTGGAATAAATATAGTAGATGTGTTAGGTTAAGTTTCGAGGTAAACTCACACGGTATGTCATTCAAAATGCCCGACGAAACCTCAGTCTAGTAAAAGCTGCACAATCAAGGAAAAAGTGTCGAGGTGTCGTGACTTTGATAACGTTCGTGAAATTTTTTAGTCTAATCGATGACCCCAATCGTTGAACGACTATGAAGAAGTCCGAATAGCAATTACTCGTCTGAAAAACTACAATGAGGTGGGGGTCAATGCATTGCCGGCCGAGCTATGTGTGACGTATATATGGCGGCAAAGAACTGATAAGGACCACGCATTAGCCCGACGATTGAGATTTAAGTTTGCTTTACCCAAACCATAAAAAGGGAGATCCTATCGAGAGTTGTGTGTGAAAGATTGAAGTCTAGCGGCAACAAGGTGTTTGGACCTTATCAGTGTGGCTTTAGGCCTTGAAAATCAACAACTGGAAAAGACCCGTGAAAAGAGGATCGACACAAACCACCTCTTAATCGATTTTAAAGCTGCTTATGGGAGCACAAAGAGGAGCTGACTTTATGCCCCCAATGTCTGAATTTGGAATCCTCGCAGAACTATTACGGCTGAGTCTACGCTAGCAATATCAATTGTTCTGTCAGGATCTGGAAGGACCTCTCCGAGGCATGGACGATGACAACATCTGATGAGTCTACGTTACATGTTTTTGAGAGAAAGGTTCTGCGCTCACAGTCGGTCAAATGCCTGTTGTTAACTCAATACATAAAATTTATTGGGATGAGCTATCATTTGTAGCATCGATACCAAGTTCTGTCCCCAAACATTATAATTCTGCATATGTAGGCAGAGAAAACAAATAGACAGCAAGCCATACATTGCCATAGGCAGTTTTAGGGTTACAGAATTATCTGCAGAGCTTCTACTTACAAAAGAGTAATATTCGATTTGAGAGATCGTGAGCCATCGAAATACATGAGTTGTTTGAATCAGTGATAAGGACTTACCATCGTGTTCTTTATTTATATTCCGAACACAATTATCGAATGATATTATATTGTCATTTACAGAAATACGACTTACCCTAACAGTGAGTGTTATCAGGCCGGTGCTGTCGGGAAGTGCCTCGCGATCTAAAGGTTTGGCTGTACGTAGTTCACCACTTTTCTCATCCAGTAAGAAATAGTCCATAGGATCTAAAAAAGTTGATATCGAAAATTAGCATTTCAGTAAAAATATTATAGTAATGAAGTAAAGAATGTACAATTAAGTCATTCTGTTCAAAATTGTGGATATAAAAGAAGGTGCCAAATGGGTTTCTGCTCTAACCATTAAATCCAAGAACCTTCTAGTGAACAATCAAGCGGCAATTAAGGCTATTCGTGGAGCCTATGCTAAGTCTCACTGCGTTAGGTTATGCAAGGAGGAAATAATTTAACTCTCTGTAGCAAACCAATTAAAGTTATCTTAGAGCTCAGTCTTAACTCAGTTAAGCTAAACTARAACATTTAGCTTTTTCAAGGGTTGCTTCAACAAATGGCCCGCATAGGAACRCATCTGTTCTTGGAACCACTGGCAACACAGAGTATACCACAAAGGTACTTTGGAGTAATGTTGATAGTGCACAATCTAAAAAGCGCCAACTTCTAGGCTTAGTAACATAGTAGGGGTCGCTACAGGACATCTACCCGTAAAATTCCACCTTCAGAAAATTGGTATAGTGAACTCAGCTGAATGCAGAGCATGCGTGGAGGTTGAAACGATACCATTGCGTATGGCCAGCGGTTAGTCGAATATAGGCGGGATATCTTCCACGGCTCTCGATGTTCAAACTCAAGAGATTTTGATCAGCTGGTATAGAAAAATTCAGCTATTTTACCAAATTTACTTAACTTAACTTAACTTAATTACTGGATGATACTGGATAAAATTGGATAAAATATATTACGTTCAGCAGGGAGTGAAGGAAATATAGCAGAAGTAGATAAGAGTGTACATGAAGACCGTGAAAAGTAAATTCCGCATTTTACGTCGAGATCTCAAATTGAAAGCGTAAAAAATACGGCTTGTGCAAGAACTGAAGTCGCTCGACTTTCCCAGTCGACATCTTTTTGCTCTATTGGCTCTTGAAAAGTTCTAAGAGAATCCAAATTTTGTTTAGCGATGAGGCCAATTTCTGGCTCAATGTGTATGTGAACAAAATTGCCGCRTTTGGGACGAAGAGCAATCTGAAGAAATTCTAGAGCTGTCATTTCATTCAGAAAAATCAACGGTTTGGTGTGATTTGTGGAACGGTGGAATTATCGGTCCATATTTCTTCAAAAATGTGCCGGTGTCAACGTAACCGTTAATATTGACCGTTACGTACAATTGTAACCGACTGTTTGGTGCCTGAAATTGAAGCTCGTCATCTCGGCGACATTTGACGTCAACAAGACGGTGCTACTTTCCACACATCGCATCATTGAATAAATTTATTGTGAGAATTTTCGGTGAGCAGATAATCACGTTTTGAGCCGGTCGATTGGCCACCATGATCATGTCATATCACAACGTTTGACTTTTGTAAATGTAAAGTCTAAAGTCTTTGCGGATAATTCCGCTTCGATGCAGGCCTTGGAGCAAAACAATGCGAAAAACGCTTGCCATTCGCCAATTACCAGTCGAAACGCTCGAACGAATCATCGAAAATTATACTCAACGAATGGACCATCAGAGATGAAAGAGATAATCTTCAAAAGTTGAATGTCAAATAATGTTCTTTCCAATGATAACAAACGTGTCCYTTTAAATTTTAGTTTCATGTAATTTTTTCTTTAAAAAAGTAGKGAAACGAGAAATGGTCCACCCTTTATAAAGATCCAATTACTCTCTACTTGAAAACACCAAAACCCTTTTTGACTTCTCCGCCGAGCATCCAAGAACTACCTTTACCTTCCTCCGATATTAAAACTCCATATCTTGTCCAGGCAAAACCTATATTGAAAATAACTGTCATAGGGAGTTGACTGATAACAGTCAGTAGGGYTTGCGGATATTTATTGCATAGCAAAAAAATATCTTCAAATTTCAGAGGCTATCTATTGTTTCGGCCAGTTATGCATGTGGACAAATAATTTATGTATAAAAGAGTAATTGTTCTCATAAATGAGTATTGTTTCGTACACTTGTATCCTTTCATTACATTACGTATATGCTTGTATTCGCTATGAATCTCCCTTTCAGCGCTCAATAACTTATCAGATAATTGCGTAAAATGCCGCCACCATTAATCAACTTAATTATTGCACTTACTCGTTAACAAATCGTAAACGATTTTCCTCGGTTCGCCTGTGTCGCCGTCGCGCGCCTGCACCTTCAGCACCAACGTACCAATAGGACTATCCTCATCGATGACCGCCGACAAGGAGCCCTGAAATACAGGCGGCTTATCCTGGACATCCTTGACACGGACTTCGAAATTCGTTTGTGATTTATGTACACCATCCTAACGAAGGCCGAAGCACAAAAGTAAAGAAATTGCACAGAAAATAAATGTAAAAGAAAAAGAAAAGCAATAACAACAACAAATCAATACAATGATAAATAAGCAGATAAGTCAAAATGACAAGCACAAAGGGATGTGCCGAGTAGTTGYAAGGGAGAAATGCTGTTAACAACTTAATTGCTTATTAAAAAGTCGCCAATTTGGTAATTGTATAAAGCCACCCGCTTTGTTAAGCCGCCTACCATACATTTCCTTACCCCACTTCCTCGTGGTACTTACCGTCGCTTCAATTTGAAAGTGATAAATCATGCGTTGATTATAATTCAGCGTGTCATTCAGCACAACRGCCGCCTTTAAGACGGTTGGCTCACGCGATAATGGCTCCAAACGGAATCTGTGGATGCGGAGGACATGAGAAGGACATTTAAGTTGTGCAAATTGATTGTTGAATTTTTATTAAAAGTAAACAAGACATAAAGTCATTTGAGTGTAATGTTTTCTTTAGTGCTTACTTGTTGCACGCCTCTGGACTCTGCTCTTGCGGCAGACATTTGAGGTCGAGACTCTCTCCGATGGTATCGCGGTCTGTTACGAGTATTTGATTGAAGATGGTTGTGCCGATGGCGGCGTCCTCATTCACATCTGTCTCGTATGGTGTCTGAGTGGAGGAGAATTGCAAAATAATTGAATTTCATTGGAATGCCTCAAATGAGAGCAGTTTTTTTTTTTTTTTTGCTAAGTAGTAATAATCTGCGGTAAGCTTTCCACAAAAACGTTTCCCACCAATAAAGAGCCTTAAAAGTTGTAAGTTCATATAATACAGACCATAATGTTCTAACTGTAGACTAGCGATCAGTTGTTCAAGGACTTGATGCGTTCGAGAGAAGTTTTATCCGTAAGCCCTTTTRAACCGTTCGCGTGAGCTGTTCAATAAAAATTTTCCCACAAAAACCCTTAAGAGTTGTAAGTTCATATARAAGCAAGTAAGGAAGGGCTAAGTTCGGGTGTCACCGAAAATTTTATACTCTCGCATGATAAAGTGATAATCGAGATTTCAGGCGTRGTTGTGAACCGATTTCACCCATATTTGGTACATAACATCACGGTRTTAAGAAAATATTATATACCGAATTTAATTGAAATCGGTTGAGTACTTCCTGAGATATGGTTTTTGGTCCATAAGTGGGCGACGCCACGCCCATTTTCAATTTTTAAAAAAAGTCTGGATGCAGCTTCCTTCTGACATTTCTTCCGTAAAATTTAGTGTTTCTGGCGTTTTTTGTTAGTCGGCTAACGCACTTTTAGTGATTTTCAACATAACCTTTGCATGGGAGGTGGGCGTGGTTATTATCCGATTTCTTCCATTTTTGAACTGTATATGGAAATGCCTAAAGGAAACGACTCTATACAGTTTGGTTGATATAGCTATAGTAGTTTTCGAGGTATGTACAAAAAACTTAGTAGGGGGCGGGGCCACGCCCACTTTTCCAAAAAAATTACGTCCAATGCCCCTCCTTAATGCAATCCTTTGTGCCAAACTTCACTTTAATATCTTTATTTATGGCTTAGTTATGACACTTTATAGGTTTTCGGTTTTCGCCATTTTGTTGGCGTGGCAGTGGGCCGATTTTGCCCATCTTCGAACTTAACCTTTTTATGAAGCCAAGAAATACGTGTACCAAGTTTCATCAAGATATCTCAATTTTTACTCAAGTTACAGCTTGCACGGACGGACGGACAGACAGACAGACAGACATCCGGATTTCAACTCTACTCGTCACCCTGAACACTTTGGTATATATAATCCTATATCTAACTCTTTTAGTTTTAGGACTTACAAACAACCGTTATGTGAACAAAACTATAATWCTCTCTTTAGCAACTTTRTTGYRAGAGTATAAAAAGACCATAATATTTCTACTGTAGTCCGTTAGTAACTATAGTCTACTAGTACCTAGGTGTCAAGGGTTCCAGCACTTGAGGTGTTCTAGAGAACTGTTTGGAATTATTCGAGTAAGCGATGAGCATCTAAGTACTGTATGAGCTCTACGGTGACACGGATATATTTAGGAGCATCAAAATCCRACGAATGCGGTTCAGACAAATCCACAGTTGTAGTACCCAAAAGGAAGACGGAGAGACGATCTGGAGTTCAATTACCAGGAGCACTCCGCTGTTGCAAATTTCTTAAAATTTTAAACTATCCTACGAGCCTGATTAGAAACCAAAAACTTATGTTACCRGTTAATCTGAGTACTTCCGAGCTAMAGCTAATTCAATGAGCGAAATTTCATTCATTGGTCTACTCAATAGACAAAGTATTTCCCAATAAACGATATCCTAGGACGAATATTCCTAGTTTTCTAGTTCTTTATTCTGTCGCAGAAAARTGGACAAAATGGTAATAAATTTCGCTTTGAGGCGCTTCTATGTGTCCCTGAGCATTAATATGACTGAGTGCATCTTCAAACAGCTYTACATGAATGCAATACAAGGTCCTAATCGTCATAAAAACTGTAGATAATAGCCAAAGAGTTTCTAGAAAATAAGACATCTCTATTTTACTTGACCGATTTTGATATTCAAAGAAAGAATGAACTTTCCAGAAAATCAATATTGTACTTAAACCATGTTTTGTAACCGGTAATATTTAGGGATTTTACAGAAATCATCAAGTARATTTCTTATGAATGCTATCGGCTCCGTGAGAACTACTTATAGGACTGTTGTCAAAACAGCCCTCACCAGACAACCTCTCCTAAACCATTAATCAAGACTGCATAACTTACGTTCTGAAATTCTGGTGGATTATCATTTTCGTCCAGCACAATTATGGTGATTGGCACTTGTACGATATTATCCTGTTCGGATTCGCCATCGGGATTGACACGATCACGTATCGTGACATAAAACAGTAGACTGTCTTTTTCCTCACGATCTAAAGGTTTTATTAATTTAATAACGCCCGTTATGGGGTCCACTTCAAAGTGCTCCGAACCGATGGCACCAAAAGTCACATTACTACCCTCCGGATCGTAGCCCTGCAACTGAGCGACCACTGTGCCAACAGCTGCATTCTCCTCCAATACAATGTTGTTGAGTACTTGAGTGAAGACAGGCGGGCGATTTGTTTCAGCTGCGAATGAAGACAATGTGATAAAGAGTTATAAAAAAGTGTAATTATTTTCGACAGCCAAAAGAGTGATCAAGGTAAATGAGTGCGACGTGTATTTCGTGGTGCACGGTGTAAATGCTACTTACAGCTGATTAACGGTGCAATGCTGATAAGCGCAAACGCGAACAGCTGATAGTGTGTGTGCAACAATTTATGTCTGGGCATGGTGTAGGTGCTGTAAAAAAAAAGAGGACATGGAGTCAGGTTAAACATTATGTAAAATATTAAATTAAATATACTSTATATGAATTAACTGTAACTTGGTATAATAATAATACTGAAATTTAAGAAAAGTCATAAAATTTTCTTTAAGTGTTTGCTGCAATATATATGACGAAATTATTTATGCTGGAAGCACAAGAGAGTTAATCCTTTTTGAAGTCCATCATGTAACAAATAAGTGGAGTTTGATGCCGATAAACGAGGTAGTTCCAAAAGGTCGCTAAAGAAATGTGTTGTCAACAYAGAGAAATTTAGAAAGCCAAACCTAAAGAATTTTAACCAATAGGAGTTAGATCCTTTGGTTATGCAGGGTTTCTGGCGGCTGCAGGTATACAAAAATTCCTCTAATACTGATTTTGACATTAAGATTCAGATAACGGAGAGTCTCACTAGCTCCGTGAGACCAATTTAGATTACATAAGCCTATAGAAAATTAT